CCCCAAAACCATCCAAATAAAGTTAATTTTCTGTCTCCAAAACCGGGCAGACAAATGAAGAAATAAAGATTCCAACCGGGTAAGAAGCTGGAAATTCAAAATTAAAACACGCTACCCTCTGCATTAGTTTCAGGCCATTGGTCGGTTTTCTTTCGTTCAGGACGTACATCGAGCGTCGCTGGGTTGACGGTGAGTAAAATAACTTCGATGTCATTTAGGAACGGACGAGAAGACACTCATCGGCGTTCTGACGGAGAGGTCGAACGAGCAGCGCCAGCTGATTGCGAAGGAATACCGGGCGGCGTGTGGGAAGGTACAGTGCGAGGAACACGACCGGCAGGAGAGAGGTCGTCGCAAGGCACCGCGGGGTCGTGACCGCGATCTTTCGTTTCGGGCCGAGCGTAACAGAAGATGCCCTGCGCTGGGACCTGAGTCCCGCTTCTGCCTTGAACGGGCTAAATAGCCTTGGTGTGTCGTCTGATCCTTCTGGGCCTCCCCTTGCTTCACCTGCAGAATGCGGAGGGTTGCCTTAGCCCAGCGGTGCTAAACCAGGAGTGGTTTTTTTTTTTTTTTTGAGACAGAGTCTCACTCTGTTGCCCTGGCTAGAGTGAGTGCCGTGGCGTCATCCTAGCTCACAGCAACCTCAAACTCCTGGGCTCAAGCGATCCTTCTGCTTCAGCCTCCTGAGTAGCTGGGACTACAGGCATGCGCCACCGCGCCCGGCCAAGGCTGTAGTATTTTTTAGACAACTGAATTTAGATAGCAGGTGCTGGTTCTAATGTAGTTACTCTACCCAGCCTGTAAATTCTAATCCGGTCCATGTAAAAGAAAATCTTTGCATTGGAAACACTGCTTTTAAATAGAACTCCAGCGCCCCTTCCTGCTGACTGAGTTATTTGGGGCAACGTCTCTGCGGTCGTCAGACCCGAGTTTTTCTTTGGTTTCGGTGGAAACTGAGCGACAGAGCACCCCGGGGAGTTATCCGTGTAGGGTTAGGCGTTCGGTGTGTCTGCGATCGAGAGATGAGTCAGAGACTGTGGGAGTTTCTTTGGCAGGTGATTTTATTTTCCCCATGGCCGAAGATAATTACTGTGCTGAAGTTCCGTGCAAATATGCTGTTGTAAGGCTTTGAAATTCAGGTTGAGTGGCCATTCTTTCGTTCTGAATAAAAGCCAGCCGTGGGGAGGAGGTGGAGTGGTGTGTTAACCCAGAGAGTTGTTTTTGGAAACATATTACTCTAGATGAACCCAACGTCTATTCAATGAGACTGAACCTCCCTTTGCTTTTCGTAACAGTTCGTTGTGCGAGGAACACGCCTGCCTTTTTGGCTGAAAGACTGCACCAGGCTTTGAAGGTTGGTCTGGAAATTTTGTATGTACTCTCAGTGTCCCTCGAGGAGGACGTAAAGATGTTGCTTAATATTGATGGGATGTCACAGTTCTTTTGCACTTTGATGAGTTCTCTTGATTAGCTCATTTGTCTACTCATTTTTCTCACAGGTTAATAGTAACCTAATTAACATACAGACAGGTACAGCGAATGGTGACTAAATTATGTCCCTGACGAAAGTGTGGGCAGTAGAACACCAACCTCAAATTCGACCCAACAGACCCAGAGCAGGCCGCCTCGCTCGGAATAAACCACGCTGAGTCGCAGCCTTTGCGTGACACTCTGACCCTGTGTTTTCTCGTCTGTCCTCACTGCCGCGTGGTGAGCCCCTGAGTGAGTGGACCGGCTCTTGCAGATCTTCAGACCCCAGGACGGGGCTTACCCAGGGAGACGCTCCCCTCGATTTCTTTACCGACATTCCCTGTGGTTCCAAGTGGGCCTTCGAAGTTACACCCAGAGCGGACACATCCTTTCCTTCTCCCCCAGCCCCGAGCCTCCTCTCTCGTGTCCGGTCATCTCGGTGGCCCCAGCGGGAACTGGCCTGGCCCAGCTCCCTGCAGTCGTGGGTTCTTCCCCGGCTCTGGTCACTGTGCCTCAGCCTCCTCAGCCTTCTCGCCGTTCCTCGACTGTGGCGGGTCTGTTCCCACATCCCTGTGTTGCCCTCTCTGCCTGGAACCTTCCTCCTGACTCCTCCTCATCCTCCAGCTGTCGGCCCAAGCATCCCCTCCCGCGAGGTCTCCCCCGACTACGCTACGCCGATTGTCGTCCCTCTCCGTCCCGTCTCCCCGCTTTATGTTCTTCGTGGTTCCCAACCATTCGCTGAAGTGACCGATCAGTTTGCCGTCTGTCTCCGTCTGCCAGGACGTCCGCTCCACGCAGACAGGGGTGCGATCTGTGTTGTTCGCCACGGACGCGCAGAACACGGACAGTGCCTGGCGTACGGCAGATGCCCAGTGAGCAATTGTCGCGTAAATAGATAAATGACAGAGTCAACATCCACCTAACTGCTCCGCTAGAAATTTTACCCTCTCCCTCATCATCCTCAAATGCTACGTCGTTCCATTTTTTCACTCCGCCTACGTAAGCATCTCTTCCATCTTCTCTCTTTCTCCATCCCTGCCGCCATTATTCTAGTTCAGCCCATCATCCTCTCTCCGCTTTGTCACTACGATCGCCTCGGCATGGTCCCAAAGCCTCTAGTCCTGGTCCCTCATCTTCATCCTCCTCCTGCCCTGCGCTCTGCTTGCCACGTTGCGGCCAAAGTGATTCCATCCAACCACAAATCTGATCTGATCTCAACGGCCTCACGTTTAAAATATCGCAGCAGTTCTCCACCCTTGGGATGCAGTCAGAGTTTCATTTCATGGTTAACAAGATCCGGCCTTTCCAGATGCATCTCTTGCTGTCCCTCTTTACAGTTTATGTATCTTGAGTGTGACGTTCTTTCCTGCCCTGAACCTTCCCGCATGCCGTTTCCTCTCTCGGAACATTATCTCCTCTTTATATGAACCCACCGCTTCTTCCCGCGGTTGACTGTTTAGGGCTCAGCTTAAATGTCACTTTCTTAGATCCTTCCTTTTCTTTTTTTTTTTGAGACAGAGTCTCGCTCTGTTGCCCAGGCTGGAGTGCTGTGGCGTCATCCTAGCTCACAGCAACCTCCAACTCCTGGCCTCAAGCGATCCTCCTGCCTCAGCCTCCCAAATAGCTGGCACTACAGGCATGCGCCACCATGCCCAGCTAATTTTTTCTATATAGTTTTAGTTGTCCAGCTAATTTCTTTCTATTTTTAGTAGAGACGGGGTCCTGCTCTTGCTCAGGCTGGTCTCGAACTCCTG